TTAAGTGACAGTTATAAGTCTTGAGCGTCGGTGGCTCAGGGGTTTCAACACTTGAGTTGCAATCTACAGGTCCTGGGTTCGAATTCCGCCATGTACCAATGTGTTTTTCAATTTCCGATTTACGAGTACATATGTACATTTATCCAACGTCCTTACTGTGAAGGAAAACATTGTGATGCAACCTGCACATATCTACAAAAAATTGAAAGATGTGTGAAGTCAACCAACCCGCACTTGGCCAGCGTGGTTGACTATGACCCAGTCACCCTTAACTTAGGGTAGGCCCTCAGTGGGGACGTACAGTGAGCTGATGATGATGATAACTTCGGCCAGGATCCAAGGTTTCTCTTATTTTAGAAATGTTAAAACATAGTCGTCTCTTTTAAGATGTAAAGAGGAAGTTACGATAAATGTTTATTACTTAGTAAATTCAATTTCCTGTTTGTTCAATGAAATGGGTAAACATAAAACAGTGTGTTAGCCAATTCAATCGTTTGGTTCAATTCGATTGCGAAACATTTGCCCAATCGGCAATTCTTCGAACAAACTATACGATAAGTTCCGTACTTTATAGCCAACAAAGTAAACCATAAAAATATAACAACTTCCTTCCACGCTATCATAAACAGGTATAAATTGTGAATGATTTTCTTTTGTTATTCACGTGTTTCTTATTTTATGATAGAATCACGAGATCCAACTATCGTTCGTTCTTACTTGTAAAGTGTACGCTTTTATTACTTGAGTAAGGTCGCCCGTGATTTAAGGAAAGTAGCCTGTAATATGCCCACCAAAGTTCCCGTCCATGTCCCTTCGAAATCAGGCCAGCAGTTCCAAAGATTAATCGGAAAAATCCCGAATTTTTGGACAGATAAAAATGTTGAAAATTGGTTATTCTTATAATAATATTATTTATTTGACTACTTATTTGACAAAAATAATTTTCTTAAAATATTGAGATGACGCAACGACGACCAAGTAATCAACTATTAATCGATTACAAGACACATCTAGTATCACATTACTCAGTTGGCTTATTTACTGTCATTTTTTTTAATGTTTAAAGTATAGACATGGTCACAAGACGTCTGTGGACTGGCCAGTTCTGTTGCACAGATAATATTTAGGTCGCCAATCTACAAATCGTTCATCCCACGCTCTGGATTCCTGAACGCGGTCTTTGTAATATCGATTCCTTATTAATCTGTTGCGACAAATGTCTTTGATAAAATCGATTTGAAATGTAACATTTTAAACATTGATCAATTTTATTTTTAATTGCTTAAAAATTATTATTGCTTTTTACCTGCCTAGTTTAGGTCTCGCTTTATCCTAGTTTAACTAAATTATATTCAAGGTTATGAGTTACCTTACGTAGATTAAAATCCTGTTGAATTTCTTCCTTTTATAGGTTATAAAAATATTTAAAATACGACTTAAGTAATAAGAAAGTTGGGCAGTAACAATAAATATGTGTCACCTTACAATTCCCGCCAACAGCCTTTTTGCTTTTTAATAGCATTACGCACAGACTATAAATAAACAGAACAATAAAACTTGATTTTAAGTCGAAGGAACTTAAACATTTTCTAAATATATCCATTTATTTTTATACCGTTCCTTGTCTGTTAGACTAAATAAAAACAAAACACTATAAATTTAATTTTTATAGTTCCTTGCGTGAACTTTACTCGAGTCTCATGTGCTTTTTATGGTTATGATTTTTTTCTTTCTTTTAATCTTTTTTTAAATAGCTACACTTTTATTAACTGCCTTATTCATTTCCCGAGTAAAAATAAAATATTATGCAAGTTAATAATATAAATCTAAATCCTATCTTACTTCTTACTAACAACAAAATGCGAATGTTCGGATGGACGGATGGATGTTTGTTAGAAGATATATCAAGATCGGTTGCATGAATCTCGCTGAAATTTGGCATAGATGTAGTACATAGTCTGGAAGAACACATAAGCTACTAATTAAGTTTTTTTTTTAATTTTTCGCACGGAGTCGCGGCAATAAGTAGCTAGGTGAATACTGGCTTGTTGTATTCCATGTCCAGTCAAACAAGTGCAATAATCTTAACGAACGCATTAAAATGCCGCTTATCGTAATAATTATTATAGTGTGTGTGTGTGTGTTATCACCCAAATTGTCCATTTAGGTGTTGGCAGAGGTCAAGGCGCGATGATAAGCTTAACAGAACAGATGGCGCCACTATCGTAGTAGACGATATATTTATTTTACTAATATTATATGGATGGATGGATGGATATTTGTTTGAAGGTATCTCCAGAACAGCTAAAAGAATCTCGATGTAATTTGACATGCATACAGAACAGTCTGAAATGACACATAAAGTACTAATTAAGTTTTTTTTTAATGTCGCGCGGATAGAGTCGCGGACGAGCGTTAGTTTTAAAAGATACAAGTAAACTATAGTAACAAATTGACCAATTTTATTAAAATAAGACACCCTATATCAGTGCAAACGACTCAATAAAAGTTTTCCAATCCTCCCTAACGTGAAATCCTTGAGTTTTATTGTGATTGCTAAAGATTATTCAACTAACCGGTGACCTGGTTACATAATGCCAGTATTTAATAAGAATAGAAAAAGAAAGGCCGAATTAAATTAAGAAATGTGTATAAAAATATTTAGTTGGATGAGTGTTTCTTTGATCTGCGGAACGTCTGTATGGATCTTGCCGAAATTTGGCATAGATGTAGACCATAATCTGGAAGAACACATAGGCTATTTTTTTTAATTCCACGCGAATTGAGTCGCTGGCGACAGCTCGTATAAGTTATGTTTACATTAATAATAACGTACGTGGAAGTATTATGCTATGGTCGTGTAGAAGCTCAGTATAGAAGGTCTCGGTGCCCTCTATTAGAGATCCAGGGGCCCTATTTGTCACACTTAAGAAAGGCCCCCGAGGGGTTTTATAAATTTCACATAATCCTGTCTTTTTCCCAAAAAGACTTATCTTTTTGAAGTTAAACCC